AATTGAACCTAGAAAGATAAAAAAACACTGAGAGAAAGATATGACAAAATAAAATAAATTATACCAGTTTTTTGAAAAAAAATATATATATATATATATATATATATATGTTCAACACCATATTTGCATAAACGCAAACATTCATACAAAAAAGTAAATTTAAAAATTTAAAATCAAACTCAGCGTTGCTTTTTAATTAATTATAAAATGTATTGGGGCGCGTTCCAAAAAATCCAATAACTCATTTTAATGCAATAGCATTTTCGGATACAACGACACATATTTTTTGTTGTCCTCTTATTACTAAGAGAAAAAACCAAGAACAACATCTATTCTATACCCTGAAGATGTCTGATGTTGCTAGGAACAGACAAAAAAACCTTGTAGAAAAAAAATAACAACAACAAATAATACGGCAGAAATTTATATAAAATTTTTCAAGGATCAATTCATTCATAACGGATCTGGAGGTTTTTTTCGTATACTATTTGAATTGTTTGCCGTTGATGATGGATGTCTCTTAGCCATTTAAAGCATTAACCTTTGCATTAGTTTTGTGTGAATAATTCATTCATACAAAATAAAAATTAGTATATATATATATATATATATATATATATATATATATATATATATATATAAAGTCAACGTCAAAATATATTAACATTAATACAGCATAATTGCATATTAAGATTTTTTTTGTTTTTCTGTATTTTTTTCTTCATACTGTCTGATCTATATCCATATATTTGCTTACATACTGTCTACTGGAAATATAAACCTGAATTTTTTTCAATTTTATAACATGGAAGACTTCTAACTGCTTGTACGAAAATATAAGAATCTATTGATCAAGTAAGGAAAGGATTTATTAACGAACTGTTTTAAAATTGTTCCATCGTGCCTGTCTGATATTTTGAAATCATTTTTATTTGCTTTGTAACGGGAGGACTTCAAGCTTATTTTTGAAATCATTTTTTTATTTGCTTTGCGTATGAAGATATAAGAACCTATTGATCTCTGCGTATTCCTATATCAACGGAAGGGATTTCTTGAACTGTTTATATAAAATAGTTCAATCGACCTTTTTAATATTTTAATATTTTTGAAATCATCTTCGAATACGTTTTCACAAACATCGCCCACGTGACGTAGACGTGATCATATTTAAACGGAACGCTGATCTTATGTAAAAATTTCAGTTAACTGTTTGGATTAGTTGTGCTCTTATGTCCATCGTCTTTTCGTTTTGAATTTTATATGTTCTAATGTTAACTATGTTTAATGAAAATGTTCTGATGATAGTCTAAAATAGACCGAAACGTCCAACGTTGACTTTATATTAACATTAATACAGCATAATTGCATATTAAGATTTTTGTTTGTTATTTCTGTATATTTTCTTCATATATATATATATATATATAACATCTGTAAGTGGTTTTTTTAATATAAAATATTAAAAAAAAGAGCAGTAGAGAGCTCAAAGTAGAGATTACAGAGCAATATGATATACATCAAGGAAAAGCTTAACACGTTGAGTAAATACGGTAATAGAACATGATTTATTTCAACCAGTAAGTTTCATCAGGCCGAACATGGAAATAGCATAAATTTACAAACAAATATATATATATATGGTTCTAGATCGCCCAATATTTTTAATAAAAACGAACAAAAATCTCAATAGCATAAAAGTAAAAGGCAGTACCCACTTCAATGCATCATGATAATTGCATTAGCTTGCAGACAGACTTAGTTCAGTAGTCAATCTAAAGAAGTCTGGCTCCATATACTGATCAGGAGCAGCAAGAATACTGCTTGGCTCAGCACATGAGTGAAACAGTTTTCCTGTATCTTACGCTAGGCCGGACCCTATCCGACACTCTGTTTTATTTTTGATTGGTAATAGTGAATGTAAAGCGAGAAGAAAGGACTAACAGTCATTTGTAAAAATGATTAAATGTATGGGTGTCTGCTAGATAAAAAAAAACCCAGATGCGAATCGGGAATTGGTACAAGTAGAAAAGTTCAAATATCTGAAAAGTGTTTTTAAAGAAGATGGAATGTATGGCACCAAAATTGTCTCCTCAGCATCAAAGCGTTTCTTAGTGAGTCAAAAAGTTAAAATCATCGGTGGGTGCGTGGGTAGGCGAATATTATCGGGGGGGGGGTAGCAAAAACCGATGGAATTACTAAACTTTTCTATGGTTAGTCTTGATGTGTGCTGCCTTGCGTTATCATGGGTTGATTGATTCATTCGTTTTCTATGACATACCAACCCTTTGCAGGTTATTTAAAGCCAGAAAAGATTTTTAGGTTTTTGAGATAATAATGCTTTAGTGTTACAAATCTTACTAATCAACCCATAGCAGGGGGAGAAGAGGTGGATTCGTACATTTCCCGAGGGTATTTGCGCATAAGTGGATATAATGAACGCAACTAAAATTGGAACTCGTTTCTCCGATTAACAATTTCCAGCCATTATAAATTACACCTACCGCACATCCAAGCTTACAGTATTCTCCATGCAAGTACGGACCAACTTAACTTCGGCAATCGTGTGGGGACCTGTGTTTCAAAGTGGTATGTTCATAAGACGCGTTTTACGGAAGAGAACAACAGTTCACCTACTGGTCGGTTTTCGACCAAACTATTCTGTACTTATTCCAGCTGCTGGACGTATGAATAGGTATTATCCTGGGTAAGAGGATAAACTACATCCGGCAGCAAGGCCCCTGATCGGGAGATTGGAGGTTTTTATAAGCGTGGAATCACCTCTTAATTGCTGTTGTTCGCAGGTGCACCATTACATAGGATGATAGCACTTCTTAGGGTCCCAGCTATGGGTAAATAGTTAAACCCCCTACCCAAACAACTCACTAGGAAAGTATAAAAATAGAATTTCATAGCGAAAATAACAGCATTAAATTTTTACACTAAAATTACCAACAACAGATTTTTATAGTTAAATTATCAGTAATGCATTTTATAGTAGAATTAACAAATGGTTTACATTTCGACATTAAATGACCCATAGGGATTTTGATATGCCGTTATGTATTTTTTTTACTGTCACGTATGAGTAGTTTAGCATGATTCTTTCGTTTTTCCCCACAATGAAAATGAATTGAACGTAATTGAATGATATGTTAAACCGGGCATATCTGGGAAGGCAGACATGGCATTCATGTTGGTACTTAACGTGGGAGGATGAAAACAACGGCACAATCGAAATGTAGCGATAAAAGATAAAAGGAAAATATGAAACTAATTCGAAGAATCAGCAGGATTATCGGAATGTGTGATCTCAGAATGGCAAAAAACGCAGAGGTCAAAATAGTGATAAATAATAAAAAAATTTATTATACGTCTGCTTGTTCATCCCGTATTAGTATAGCGTGACTGTGAGGCCCAGTCAATATTTCATAAATAGTGGACTTGTTTTTTACTGAGAAAATTGGTTTTAGTGAAAAATAAAAGCAAGAAAGGAAGGAATAAAGAAACGCCCTGCCAATACCTCATACCCAATAATAGACTGTTCCATTTTGAACGTGCGGAAAGACGGAAATGACATATCAGAAACGCCACTTGGTTTCAGTGAGAAAATGAAAGGAAGGAAGGAATAAATAAACACCCTGCCAATACCTCACGAATTAGGATTTGTTCCGTTTTGCTCGCGAGGAAGGACGGAAAAGATATATCAGAGGCGCTGTCTGATTTCAGTGATAAAAAGAAAGAAAGAAAGGAAAAAAGAAAGAAAGGAATAAATAAACACCCTGCAAATACCTCATGAATAATGGACTGTTCTGTTTTGATCAAGTGGAAAGACGGAAATGACATATCAGAAACGCCACTTGGTTTTAGTGAGAAAATAAAAGAAAGAAAGAAAGAAAGAAAGAAAAGAAGGAAGGAAGGAAGGAAGGAAGGAAGGAAGGAAGGAATGAATAAGTAAACGCTCTGCCAATACTTCATGAATAAGGATTTATTCCGTTTTGCTCTCGAGAAAGGACGGAAAAGGCATATCAGAAACGCTGTCTGATTTCAGCGATAGAAAATAAATAAATAAATAAATAAAGAAAGAAAGAAACAAAACAATCATCATTCAAACAGGAAAGCCGTGAAATTTTCATGGGAGTGTTACTAGTAAATAAATAATGCGAATGTTTCATCTTTTTATTTTCGGATGAAATACAATCTCATCATGTTAACGCGATCGATAGGATACGAAATATACTATTTCGAATCCGTAAGACATTCATTGATTCTGTTCGTCACTTTAGGGAAATAAAAGCCATTTCAATATTTTCTTCACTTTTTATTCCCAAATTCAATATTCGATTTTTCTTCGGAATCATAGGCAACGTTACTTTCACTCACTCAATCAATCAATCGCTATTTTATTTTCATGTTTAATAATTATCTCGCTTCTTAAGTTACTCATTCAAGATTATAGCGTTCTGTTCATTCGATTTCAAATCTCTTTATAATTCCTCGTTCAATCTCTCCTTCATTCAACTTCCCTATTAGGGAAAAAAAGTCCTTCAACTCATCAATCTTCTTTCTTTCTTTTCTTGTTACTTTTCTTAATTTTATTTATTTGTTTTTTTCTTTTGGTTGTTCCTTCATTTCTCTTATTTCTTCTTTTATTCCTTTCAACTTTCATTCTAGTTTCTTTCATTCAATTCTTCTTGCATTCCTCTCTCTTTCATTCCTGTCATTCTTGGCTTCTTTCATTAATTCTACTATTATTATTGCCTCTATCATTCTTTCATTACATTCATTCTTATTTCTTTCATTTCTATGTTTTTTTTGATCTCATTCATTCATTTCTTGTTTCATTCATGACTCTTTCATTTTTTTCTTTGGTCATCCTTGTCGCTTACACTCATTCTCTTTTTCATTCATATGTCTTTCTTTAATTACTTCTTTCATTTATATCTCTTTCATTAATTTCTTCTTCAATTTTGTTTCTCTCATTCCCAAATTCATTCATTTTTATGGCTTTTATTCCTTTCTTTTTAATTCCTGTCTCTTTCATTCTTTTTTCTCCTTCCATTCTTGTCTCTTTCTTTCCTTTCTTTTTCATTCTTGTCTCTTTCATTCTTTTTTTCTTCCATTCTTGTCTCTTTCATTCTTTTTTTCTCCTTCCATTCTTGTCTCTTTCATTCTTTTTTCTCCTTCCATTCTTGTCTCTTTCATTCTTTTTTTCTCCTTCCATTCTTGTCTCTTTCATTCTTTTTTCTCCTTCCATTCTTGTCTCTTTCATTCTTTTTTCTCCTTCCCTTCTTGTCTCTTTCATTCCTTTCTTCTGCATTCTTGTCGCTTTCATTCCTTTCTTTTTCATTCTTGCCTCTTTCATTCTTTTTCTCCTTCCCTTCTTGTCTCTTTCATTCCTTTCTTCTGCATTCTTGTCGCTTTCATTCCTTTCTTTTTCATTCTTGCCTCTTTCATTCTTTTTCTCCTTCCCTTCTTGTCTCTTTCATTCCTTTCTTCTGCATTCTTGTCGCTTTCATTCCTTTCTTTTTCATTCTTGCCTCTTTCATTCTTTTTCTCCTTCCATTCTTGTCTCTTTCATTCCTTTCTTCTGCATTCTTGTCGCTTTCATTCCTTTCTTTTTTTCATTCTTTTTCTTTCATTCTTTTCTCCTTCCATTCTTGTCTCTTTCATTTCCTTTCTTCTGCATTCTTGTTTCCCTTTCATTCCTTTTTCATTCTTTTTCATTCCATTTCTCTCCTTTCTTTTTCATTCTTTTTTTTTTTTTTCTTCTTTTCTCTTTTTTCATTCTTGTCTCTTTCTTCTTTTTCATTCTTTCCTTTTGTCTCATTCCTTTCTTTTTTTTTCTTCATTCTTTCCATCTTTCATTCTTTTTCTCCTTCCCTTCTTGTCTCTTTCATTCCTTTCTTCTGCATTCTTGTCGCTTTCATTCCTTTCTTTTTCATTCTTGTCTCTTTCATTCTTTTTTTTCTTCCATTCTTGTCTCTTTCATTCTTTTTTTCTCCTTCCATTCTTGTCTCTTTCATTCTTTTTTCTCCTTCCATTCTTGTCTCTTTCATTCTTTTTTCTCCTTCCCTTCTTGTCTCTTTCATTCCTTTCTTCTGCATTCTTGTCCTTTCTTTTTTTTCTTTTCATTCCTCTTTTTTTTTTTTCCTTCCATTCTTGTTCTCTTTCATTCTTTTTTTCTTCCCTTCTTTTCTCTTTCATTCTTTTCTTTTCATTCTCATTCCTTTTGTCTCTTTTCATTCCTTTCTTTTCATTCTTGTCGCTTTCATTCCTTTCTTTTTTCATTCTTTTTCTCCTTCCATTCTTGTCTCTTTCATTCCTTTCTTCTGCATTCTTGTCGCTTTCATTCCTTTCTTTTTCATTCTTGTCTCTTTCATTCTTTTTTTCTTCCATTCTTGTCTCTTTCATTCTTTTTTTCCTTTTCTTTGTCTCTTTCATTCTTTTTTCTCCTTCCATTCTTGTCTCTTTCATTCTTTTTTCTCCTTCCCTTCTTGTCTCTTTCATTCCTTTCTTCTGCATTCTTGTCGCTTTCATTCCTTTCTTTTTCATTCTTGCCTCTTTCATTCTTTTTTTCCTTCCATTCTTTTCATTCTCTTTCATTTCCTTTCTTCTTTCTTCTTTTTTCATTCATTCCTTTCTTTTTTTCATTCCTTTTCTTCTTTCATTCATCTTTTTCTCTTCCCCTTCTTGTCTTTCTTCTTCCTTTCTTCTGCATTCTTGTCCTTTCATTCTTTTTCCTTTTCTCTTTTTCTCTTTCATCTTTTTTTCCTTCCCTTCTTTCCTTTTTCATTCCTTTCTTCTCTTCTTTTCTCTTCCTCCTTTTTCTTTCATGCTCTTTTCCTTCCTTTCATTCCATTTTTTCTTTTCATTCTTTCTCCTTCTTCCTCTCTTTCTCTTTTTTTTCTCCTCTACCTTCCTTTCATTCCTTTTTTATTTCTTTTTTTTCTTTCTTGTCTTTCATTTCTCTTTTTTTCCTTTTTCTTTGTTCTCTCTTCTTTTCTTTCCTTTTCTTTCTTTCATCTTTTCTTCCTTTCTTCTTTTTTTTCCTTCCATTTTTCTCTTTCTTTTTTTCTCCTTCCCTTTTGTCTCTTTCATTTCCTTTTTTCTGCTTTTTTGTCCTTTTCATTCCTTTTCTTTTCATTCTTTCCTCCCTTTTTCATTCTTTTCTCTTACCTTCTTTTAATTCTCTTTCCTTCTTTTCTTCTGCATTTTTTATTCCTTTCTTTTTCTTTTTTTTCTTGTTCTTTTTGATTCTTTTTCATTCTTCTTGTCTCCTTTTTTTTTCTTCTTCTTGTCTCTTTCATTCTTTTTCTTTTTCATTCTTTTCTCTTTCATTCTTTTTTCTCCTTCCTTCTTGTCTCTTTTCTTCCATTCTTCTCATTCTTGTCCTTTCATTCCTTTTCTTTTTTCTTTCTTGCCTCTTTCATTCTTTTTCTCCTTCCCTTCTTGTCTCTTTCATTCCTTTTTATCTTATTCTTCTCCTTTTCATTCACTCTTTTTCTTCCATCTTTCTTTTCTTTCATTCCTTTTTCTTATTCCTTTCATTTCTTCTTCCTTTTTTCTTTCTTCTTCATATTTTCTTTTAATTCCTTTTTCTTTTCTCTTTTTCTCCTTTTCTCTTTCATTCTTTTATTTTTATTTTTCTTCTTCTCTTTTCATTCTTTTCTTCTTTTTCTTCCTCTTTCATTCCTCTTCTCCTTTTTTTTCCATGCTTTTCATTCCTTTCTTCTTTTTTTTTCATTCCTTCTCTTCCCTCTTTCTCTCTTTTCTTCTGCTTCTTCTCCTTTCATTTTCTTTTTTTTACATTCTTTGTCTCTTTCCTTTCTTTTTTTTCCTTTTCTTTCTTTTTCTCCTTTCTTCTTTTTTATCTCATTTTTTGCTTCCTCTCTTCTTTTTTTTTCTTCCATTTTCTCTACCTTCCTTTCATTCCTTTTTCTCTTTCACTTTCATCTGCTCTTCCTTTTTCTTCCTTTTTTTTCTTCATTTCTCTATTCTTCCCTTTCATTCCTTTTCTCTTTCTTATTTTTATTCTGCTTTTCCTTATCTTTTTCCCTTTTCTTCCATTGCTCTCTTCTTCCTTTTCATTCCTTTTCTCTTTTTCTCATCTGCTTTTTTTCCTCTTTCTCCCTTTTTTCTTCCATTTTTTCCTTCCTTTTCATTCCTTTTCTCTTACACTCTCATTTTGCTTCCTCTTTTCTCCCTTTTTCTTTCATGCTCTCTTCCTTCCTTTCCTTTTCTCTTTTGTTCTCATTTTTGCTTCCTTCTTGTTCTCCTTTTTTTTTCCCATTTCTCTACCTTCCTTTTTCATTCCTTTCTTCCATTACACTCTCATCTTTTTTTTTCCTCTTTTCTTCCTTTTCTTTCATTCTTGTCTACCTTCCTTTCATTCCTTTTCTCTTACACTTTCATCTCTCTTCCTTTTTTCTCCTTTTTCATTCCTTTCTTCTATCTTTTTTCATTCCTTTTCATTTCACTTATTATCTTATTTTTTCTCTTCTCCTTTTCATTCCCTTTCTCTATCCTTCCTTTTGTCTTCCTTTTCTCTCTTCCCTTCTCATCTGCTGCTTCCTCTTTCTCCTTTTTTCTTTCATTCTCTCTACCTTTTTTCATTCCTTTCTCTTTCACTTTTTCTCTGCTTCTTCTCTTTTCTTCCTTTTTCTTCCATTCTTGTCTTATTTTTCCTTTCATTCCTTTTCTCTTACACTCTCATCTTTTTTTCCTCTTTCTTTTTTTTTCTTTCTTGTTTTTCTTCCTTTCATTCCTTTTTCTTATTTTTCATCTGCTTTTCCTCTTTCTCCCTTTTTCTTCCATTCTTTACCTTCCTTTTCATTCCTTTTCTTTAACTTTCATTGCTTTTTTCTTTTCTTCTTTTCTCTTTCATTTTTCTCTCTTCCTTTTTGTCTCCTTTTCTCTTTCACTTTTCATCTCTTATTTTTCCTTCCCTTTTCATTCTTTTTCTTCCATTTCTCTCTACCTTTTTCATTCCTTTTTCTCTTTTTCATCTTTTGCTTCCTTCTTCTTTTTTTCTTCCTTTTCTTACCTTTCTTTCATTCCTTTTCTCTTTCCTCTTTCTTCTTTATCCTCTTCTCCCTTTTTTTCCATTCTTTTCATTCCCTTTCATTCCTTTTTTTTACATTCTCTCTGCTGCTTTCTTTTCTCCTTTTTCTTCTTGCTCTTTACCTTCCTTTTCATTCCTTTATTTTTTCTTTTACACTCTTTTCTTCTGCTTCCTTTCTTTTTTCCTTTTTTTTCCATTCTCTCTATCTTCCTTTCATTCCTTTTCTCTTACACTTCTTGTCTTCTTTTTATTCCCTTTTTCTTTTTGTTTCTCTCTTTGTTCCTTTCATTCCTTTTCTCTTACACTTCATCTGCTGCTTCCTCTTTTCTCCTTTTTCTTCCATGCTCTCTTTTCTTCCTTTCATTCCTTTTTCTCTTTTCCTCATCTGCTGCTTCCTCTTTTTCCTTTTTTCTTTCTTGCTCTACCTTCCTTTTCTCCTTCCTTTTTCTTTTCACTTTCATCTGCTGCTTCCTCTCTTTCCCTTTTTCTTCCTTGCTTTTTTATTCCTTTCATTCCTTTTTATCTTACACTTTTCATCTGCTTTTCCTCTTTTCTCCTTTTTTCTTCCATTTCTCTACTTTCCTTTCATTCCTTTTTTTGATTACACTCTCATCTGCTGCTTCTTTCCTTTTTTCTCCCTTTTTTCTTCCATGCTCTCTACCTTCCTTTTCATTCCTTTTCTTCTTTCTCTTTCATCTGCTTTCCTTCTTTCTCCCTTTTTCTTCCATTTCTCTACCTTCCTTTCATTCTTTTCTCTTACACTTTTTCTGCTGCTTCCTCTTTTTTCCCTTTTTTCTTCCATTTTCTACCTTTCTTCCTTTCATTCCCTTTCTCTTACACTCTCATCTGCTTTATTTTCTCCTTTTCTTTCCATTCTCTCTACCTTCCTTTCATTCCTTTTTTTTACACTTTCATCTTATTTCTTTTCTTTTCTCCTTTTTCTTCCATTATCTCTACCTTTCTTTCCTTTTCATTTTTTCTTACACTTATCTTTTGCTTTCTTTTTTTCCCCTTTTCTTATTCATTCTCTCTCTTTTCCTTCCTTTTCATTCCTTTTCTCTTACATTCTCATCTGCTGCTTTTATTTCTTCCTTTTTCTTCCTTTTCTTCTCTATCTTCTTTCTTTTTCCTTTTCTCTTACCTCTCATCTGCTTATCCCTTTCTTTCCCCTTTTTTTATTTCCATGCTTTTTTTTCCTTTCATTCCTTTTCTCTTACATTTTCTTTTTCTGCTTCCCTCTCTTCTCCCTTTTTCTTTTCCCTTCTTTTCTTTCTTCCTTTCATTCCTTTTCTTCCCTTTCTTTTTCATTCTTACCTCTTTCATCTTTTCTCCCTTTTTCTTCCATGCTCTTTACATTCCTTTCATTTCCTTTTTTCTTATTTTTCATCTGCTGCTTCCTCTTTTTATCTTTTTTTCTTTCATTCTTTCTATCTTCCTTTCATTCCTTTTCTCTTACACTCTTCTTTTTTGCTTCCTCTTTTTATCCTCTTTTTCTTTTCCATTCTCTCTACCTTCCTTTCATTCCTTTTTTCTTACACCTCATCTTCATTTCCTCTTTTCTCCCCTTTTTTTTCCATTCTCTTTCATTCCTTTCATTCCTTTTCTTTACCTTTCTCCTTTTGCATTCTTTATTTCTTATTTTTTTTCATTTCCTTTATCTTCCTTTCATTCCTTTTCTCTTACATTCTCATGCTTTTTTCCTCTTATTTTTTTTCCTTTTTCTTCTCTATTATTTTGTTTTTTTCCTTCCCTTTTCTTTCACTTTCATCTTTTTTTTTTTTCCTTTCTTCTCCTTTTTCTTCCATTTCTACCTTCCTTTCATTCCTTTTCTCTTTTGATTCTCATCTGCTTTTTCTTTTTCCCTTTTTTTCTTCCATGCTCTTTCCTTCCTTTTTCATTCCTTTTCTCTTTACTCTCATCTTTTGCTTCCTCTTTTTCCCTTTTTTCTTTATTTTTGTCTCTTTCCTTCCTTTCATTCCTTTTCTTTCTTATTCATTTCTTTTTTCATCCTCTCTTCTCTTTTTTCTTTTTTTTTCCTTCTCTTTATTCCTTTCATTCCTTTTCTCTTCCACTCTCATCTGCTTTCTTCCTTTCTTTTTTTTCTTTTCTTTCATGCTTTATCTACCTTCCTTTCATTCCTTTTCTCTTACTTTCTCATCTTTTTTTTTTTCCTTCTTTTCTCCTTTTTCTTCCATTTTTGTTCCTTACCTTCCTTTCATTCCTTTTTTCTTTCACTCTCATCTGCTTTATTATCCTCTCTTCTCCCTTTTCTTCCATGCTCTCTTATCTTCCTTTCATTCCTTTTCTCTTACACTCTCATCTTGTTCCTCTCTTCTCCTTTTTTTCCATTCTTCTACCTTCCTTTTCATTCTTTTTTATCTTTTTTTTCATTCCTTTTCTTTCATTCTCCCTCTTCTTTTCTTCCTTTTTTCATTCCTTTCTTTTTTTTTCTTCTTCCTTTCATTCCTTTTTTCTTATTTTTTCTTCCTTTTCATTCCTTTCTTATCTTTTTTGATTCTCCTCTTTTCTTTCCTCTTTTTTTTTCTTATTTTTTTTCTCCTTTTCTTTTCTTTTTTCTCCTTCTGCTTTTTCCATTCCTTTCATTTCCTTTTTCTTCCATTTTTGCCTTTTTCATTCCTTTTCTCTTATCTTCTTCTTTTGATTTCTCTTTCATTCTTTTTATTATCATTATTTTTTACCTTCCTTTTCATTCCTTTTCTCTTACCTCTCATCTTTTTTCCTTCCTTTTCATTCATTTTTCTTCTTGTCTTTTTCTTTCTTTTCATTCCTTTTTATCTTATTTTCTCATCTTTCCTTCCTCTCTTTTCTCCCTTTTCTTCCATGCTCTCTTTCCTTTCATTCTTTTCTCTTTCATTCTTTTTCTCCTTCCCTTCTTGTTCTTTTCTTCCTTTTCTTCCACTTCTATCTTTTTTCATTCCTTTCTCTTTCATTCTTATTATCTTATTTTCTTTCCTTTTTCTTCCATCCTCTCTACTTATCCTTTCATTCCTTTTCATTCACTTTCTCATCTTATTTTTGATTCTTTTTCCTTTTTTTTCCATTATCTTATTTTTTTCATTCCTTTTTCTCTTACTTCTCATCTGCTCTTCCCTTTTTTTCCTTTTTCTTCCATTATTATCTTATTTTTAATTCCTTTTTCATTCCTTTTTATCTTATTTTTTCATCTGCTTTTCATTCCTCTTTTCTCCCTTTTTCTTTTCATTCTCTTTACCTTCCTTTCTTCCTTTTCTTCTTTTTATTATCATCTTTTGCTTCCTTTTCTTCTTTTTCTTCCATTTTTTTATTTCCTTTCATTCCTTTTCTCTTTCATTCTCATCTGCTGCTTCCTTTTTTCTCCTTTTTCTTCCATTTCTCTCTTTTCCTTTCATTCCTTTTTCTTACACTTTCATCTTATTTTTTTCCTCTTCTTCTCCTTTTTCTTATCTTATTTTTTCCTTCCTTTCATTCCTTTTCTCTTATTTTTCTTTTTAATTTCTTTTCTTTTTCTCCTTTCTTTCTTATTCTTTATTTTTTCCTTTTTTCATTCCTTTTCTCTCTTATCTTTTTAATTCCTTTTTTCCCTTTTTCTTCCATTTTCTACCTTCCTTTCATTCCTTTTCTTTACTTCTTTTCTAATTCCTTTTCTTTCCCTTTTTTCTTCTTGCTTTTTTTTCCTTTTTTCCTTTTCTTTACCTCTTATTGTTTTTTCTTCCTCTTTTCTTTTTCTTTCCATTTCTCTACTTCCTTTCATTCCTTTTCTTTTCTCTTTATTCTTCCTCTTTTCTCCCTTTTTTCCATTTTCTTTTTCCTTTCATTCCTTTTTTCTTACACTCTCATTTCCTTCATCTTTCTTTTTCTTATTTTTCTTTCTTCCTTTCATTCTTTTTATCTTACTTTCTCTTTTCTGCTTCCTTCTTTCTTCCTTTCATTTCTTTCTTCTTTTTTCTTCCTTTTCTTTCATTTCCTTTATTTTTTCTCATTTTTTCTTCCTCTTTTTCTTCCTTTTTCTTCCATTTTCTCTTACCTTCCTTTCATTTCTTTTTCTTATCTTTCATTTTTTTCTTCCTTCCTTTCCCTTTATTTTCATTCCTTTTCTTCCTTTTTCTTTTCTCTTCTTCATCTTCCTCTTTTCTCCTTTTCATTCATGCTTTCTTATCTTCCTTTTAATTCCTTTTCTCTTTCACTTCTCATCTTATCTTCCTTTTTCTCCTTTTTCATTCCTTTTTATTCTCTTCCTTCCTTTTCATTCCTTTTCATTCCACTCTTATCTTATTTTGATTTCCTCTTTCTCCCTTTTTTTCTTCCATTTTTTCTCTTTTTTCCTCCTTCATTCCTTTTCTCTTTTCATTCTCATCTTCTGCTTCTTTTTTATTTTCCTTTTCATTCCATCTTATTATCTTGTTTCCTTTCATTCCTTTTCTCTTTTATTCTTTTTTGTTCCTCTTTTCATTCCTTTTTCTCTTATTTTTACCTCCCTTTCATTCCTTTTCTCTTATTCTATTTTTTGATTCCTTTTTTCCCTTTTTTCTTCCATTTTTACCTTCCTTTTCATTCCTTTTCTCTTACCTTATTTTTTCTTTTCCTTTTCCTTTTTCTTTTCTTATCTTATTTTTTTTCCTTCCTTTCATTCATTTTTTTCTTATTTTTTTTTCCTTTTCATTCACTTTATTATCTTATTTTTTAATTCCTTTTTTTTCCCTTTTATCTTATTTTTTATTCCTTTCTTCCATTTTTTCTTTTTTTTTCCTTTTCTCTTTCACTTTATTATCTTTTTTTATTTCCTTTTCTTCCTTCTCTTTATTTTTTCTTTCCTTTCTTCTTTATTATCTTCCTTTTAATTCCCTTTTCATTCACTTTATTCTCTTATTTTTCTCTTCTCCTTTTTCTTATCTCTCTTTTTCCTTTTCATTCCTTTTCTCTTATTTTTGTCATCTTTCATTCCTCTTTTCTTCCTTTTTTCTTCTTTCATTCTTTTTTTCTCCTTTCATTCCTTTTCTTTTATTTCATCTTTCTTCCTTCTTCTTTCTTTCATTTTATTATCTTTTTTTTTGAATTCCTTTTTCATTCCTTTTTCTCTTATTTTTTAATTCCTTTTCATTCCTTTTATTATCTTATTTTTACCTTCCTTTTCATTCCTTTTCTTTTTATTTTTTTATTCTCTTTTCATTCTTTTCTCCTTTTTTTTCTTTCCCTTTTCATTCCTTTATTTTCATTCCTTTTTTTTCCCTTTTCATTCACTTTATTATCTTATTTTTTTTTTCCTTTTCTTTTTCATTCTTTTTTATCTTTTCATTTTTTCTGCTTCTTTTTCTTTCATTTCCCTTTCTTTTTTTTCTTTCCTTTTTTCATTTCCTTTTCTTTTACACTTTCATTTTTTGCTTCCTTATTTTCTTTTTTTTCTTTTCATTCCTTTACCTTCCTTTTTTGATTCCTTTTTCTCTTTTTTTTTATCTTATTTTTCCTCTCTTTTCCCTTTTTTCTTTTGCTTCTTATTCCTTTCATTCCTTTTCTCTTTCACTTTATTATCTTATTCCTCTCCCTTTTCATTTTTCTTTTTCTCCTTTTTTTTCATTCCTTTTCATTCTTTTTCATCTCTTCTTTTCTCTTCTCCCTTTTCATTCCTTTATTCTTTCCTTTTTTCCTTTTTTTTCATTCTCTCATTTTTTATTCCTCTTTCTTTTTTTTTTTCTTTTCTTTCATTCCTTTTCTTTTTTTTTCCCTTTCATTCCTTTCTTTTCCTTCTTCCTCTTTTTTCTTTCCCTTTCCTTCTTGTCTCTTTCTTATTTTTTCTTTTCATTTTCATTCACTTTATTATCTTATTTTTTTCTTTTCATTCCATTTTTATTATCTTCCTTTTAATTCCTTTTCATTCACTTTCATATGCTTCTTTTTTTTCCTTTTCATTCACTTTATTATCTTATTTTTTTCATTCCTTTTCTCTTCACTTTCATTGCTCTTCTTTTTGCTTCTTCTTTCATTTCTTTCTTTTCTTATTTTTTCATTCCTTTTCTCTTCACTTTATTATCTTATTTTTTTTTTTCCCTTTTTCTTTTATTCTCTTCCTTTTCTTTCCCTTTTCATTCACTTTCATATCTTTCCTTTTTTCTTCCTTTTCATTCACTTTATTATCTTATTTTTTAATTCTTTTCATTCACTTTATTATCTTTTTTTTAATTCCCTTTTCATTCATCTTCTCTCTTTCTTTTCCTTTTTTCTTTCTTTTATTTTCTTATTTTTTTCCTTTTCATTCACTTTATTATCTTATTTTTTTATTTCCCTTTTCATTCATTATTATCTTTTTTTAATTCCTTTTCATTCACTTTATTATCTTATTTTTTCATTCCTTTTCATTCATTTTATTATCTTTTTTTTTCTCCTTTTTCATTCACTTTATTATCTTTTTTTTTCATTTCCTTTTTTTCTTTTTTTATCTTTATTTTTTAATTCTTTTTCATTCTTCCTCTTTATCTTATTTTTTATTCCTTTTCATTCTTTTATTATCTTATTTTTCCTTTTCTTCCTTTCATTCACTTTTTATCTTATTTTTTTCATTTTTTTTCCTTTCCTTTTTTCCTCTTTCATTCTTTTTTCTTTTTTCTTTCCTTTTCATTCACTTTATTATCTTATTTTTTTTCATTTTCATTCCCTTTATTATCTTATTTTTAATTCCTTTCATTTCTTTATTATCTTATTTTTATTCCTTTTCATTCTTTTTATCTTATTTTTTATTCCTTTTCATTCATTTTTTTTTATCTTATTTTTTGTTCCTTTTCATTCACTTTTTATCTTATTTTTTTCTTTCCTTTTTCATTCACTTTATTATCTTATTTTTTTCTTTCCTTTTCATTCATTTATTATTTTATTTTTGATTCCTTTTCATTCCTTTATTATTTTTATTTTTCTTTCTTCCTTTTTCATTTTGCCTTTTCTTCCTTTTCTATCTTTTTTTTTCCACCTTTTTCATTCCTTTATTATCTTATTTTTGATTCCCTTTTTCATCACTTTATTATCTTTTTTTTCCTTTTTCTTTTCATTCACTTATCTTATTTTTCCTTCCTTTTTCTTCCTTTATTATCTTATTTTTTTCCTTTTCTCTTCACTTTATTATCTTTTTTTTATTCCTTTTCATTTCACTTTCCATATCTTATTTTTTTCATTCCTTTTCATTTCCTTTATTATCTTATTTTTTTTTCCTTTTTTTCTTCTTTTATTATCTTATTTTTTTCATTCCTTTTTCTTTTTACTTTATTATTTATTTTTTTTTTTCTCCCTTTTCTTCACTTTTTATCTTTTTTTTTTCCTTTCATTTTTTTATCTTCTTTTTTTTCTTCTTTTCTTCTTTTATTATCTTTTTTTAATTCCCTTTTCATTCACTTTATTATCTTATTTTTGATTCCCTTTTCATTCACTTTATTATCTTATTTTTTGATTCCTTTTCATTCACTTTATTATCTTATTTTTTTTTCTTTCCTTTTCATTCATTTTATTATCTTTTTTTTTTTTATTTTTATTCATTTCATTTCTTTATTTTTCATTTTTTGTTCCTTTTTTTTATTCATTTTTTTATTATCTTATTTTTTTAATTCCTTTTCATTCACTTTATTATCTTTCTTTTTTAATTCCCTTTTCATTCACTTTTATTATTTATTTTTTTTTCCTTTTCATTCACTTTATTATCTTATTTTTTTTTTCCTTTTCATTCACTTTTATTATCTTATTTTTTTAATTCCTTTTCATTCACTTTTTATTATCTTATTTTTTTTCCCTTTTCATTCACTTTATTATCTTATTTTTTTATTCCTTTTCATTCACTTTATTATCTTATTTTTTTTTCCCTTTTCATTCATTTTATTATCTTTTTTTCATTTTTTATTTTCATTCACTTTATTATCTTATTTTTTGATTTCCTTTTTCATTTGTCTTTATTATCTTATTTTTTAATTCCTTTTCATTCTTTTATTATCTTATTTTTTAATTCCCTTTTCATTCACTTTTTATCTTATTTTTTTTTCTCCTTTTCATTCACTTTATTATCTTATTTTTGTTTCCTTTTCATTCATTTTTTTATCTTATTTTTTCTTCCTTTTCATTCACTTTATTATCTTATTTTTTTTTCCTTCTTTCATTCCTTTATTATCTTTTTTTTTCCT